AGGGAACATTAGAGCTAGAGACACAAGGGAGAACATTCTCATGTGCACAGAAGGAAGGGAACTAGCAAAAAGGAGCTGCTAATTTATCCCTGTCCAGCAACCCAAACAGAAGTTAAGACTTCTTTATGGTGTGGGCAGGAGGCCCCTTCCCACCCAAATCAATTGAGCAACTAGTCCCAGGCCTAAAAGGCATCCCCTTCTGGGGCTAGATGCAGTATCACACAGTACCCATGCCTCCTTAAAGAGTTTACCCATGTCTTTCCTTGGCCCACCTGTGAAGGGTAAGGTACTCTCTTAACCCCAGAGAACAAAAACCCCCACTGGCTTCTGGTATCTACTGGAATTTTTATTGACCAGTCATTTAAAAACCAAGTATCACAGACCTGAGGGATAGGGCTGGGAACTACACCTCCCTCCCACCCACATAGACAACAGTAGGGAATAAGGAGGGCAAGAAGAGGTGGCCAAGGTGAGACAACAGCAGCAGCAGTAATGGGGTATCAATGTCACAAAGCCACTCTGTCCTCTCCCACATTCTGGCTGGAGCCCATATGGCTTGGGGAGGAAAAGAGGTAAATCCTACCACAGGTTCCTCCTCCTCTCAGATAGCCTCCTTGGGGGCTCAGCCCTTTTCTTCTGTCAGGAGACTGAGGCACATGGAGAGAAGGAAGTGAGAGAGAACACAGGAGAGGCAGGGTGGTGGCAGGAATGAAGGCGGAAGTGGGAGGCGTGAACATGGCCCAGCCCAGCCATGCCTACCCAGGGGAGAGGCAAGAAGCCACACCATCACGCAGCATGTTGGGAAACAGGTGGAATTTAAGGCTAAGAGGCTGAGGCAGGCCAGCAGGGCCCAAGGCCTCAGTCAAAGCCATGCCAGTCACTGTGCTCTGAGTCGTACTCCAGTTCTGCGCCCACACACTTCACACCATCCAACAGCATGGGTGTACCGTGGTGCCGGTCTGTAAGGCAGGTGCCATAGGTTGGTATGCCTACTGTGTCCTGGCCCCACACAAAGTTCATTCCACAGGGACCTCTCCCTCACATCATTGGCCCGGGGTTGTGGGAGAACATTGCCAAGGAGGTTGGAACCCACAGCCAGCTTCAAGAATCTCCAGGCCACTCTCGTGCCTCCCTCCTTCAGCCAGACCCACCTCACACTATCACTTACCCATGACACGTGCCTGCACCATTACATGCACACAGGTGCCTGTGTCACCCTCACAAGCCAGTAGCATCTCCTCTTTGAGGACACCTTCTTTGTGTGCTGAATACTCACACTTGATGCTATAACCTGCTGGAGGACAGGGATAATCAGTACCGCCATAGCTTTCCCATACTGTCCCCAGCACTCAGTCCTACACTCAGTAAGTCATGCTGAGTCTCTTCCAGAAAGGGGTATGGACGATCCCTCTAGAGACCCAACCCCACAAGGCTGGCACAGGACTAAGAAACTTCCCATTCTTTAATGAGGTGAATGTGTCTCTGGCCTGGGAATCAAACATGACTCTATAGGTGAGGACAAGTTCTAACTCATGCTTCTAAGAAAAAGGTCCACTGGTTCCACAAAAAGGAAGGTAGAGAAGGTGATAGGGAACAAGTAGAGGCAGGAGGATTAGAGGCAGTGGATTAGAGGGCACAGGGCAAGGTCGTCCTCAGTCCACTGAAGGAAGGGTAAAGCTATGAAGAGGCAGTAGACATGGAACTGAAGCTGAGGCTCAGTCTCTACAAGGTTGGGCACTGGAAGTAGAACAGGGCCTGAAGCCAGCAGGAGAAGCAGCCTAGAACCCAAGGCCTGGGATGAGTGGGTGCTAGGAGTTAGCAACCCAAAGTTCCTGCATCTCCTGCCTTATTATGCAGGAAGATGAGAGAGGTTGGAGGCCCAAAGACAGTTCCTCTGGGACCTCCCCACTGAGGATACTATCAAGCAATGGGCAGTGTGAAATTAATGGACAAACCTGTAGTGTGAATTAATGGACTTCTGTCCCAAAAATGGAGGCTGGGTCTGGAGAGATGGCTCAGCAGTTAAGAGCACTGGCTGCTCTTACAGAGGACCTGAGCTTGGTTCCTAGTATCCACATGGCAGCTAACAACCATCAGTAACTCTAGTTCCAGGGAATCTAACACCTTTTTCTGGCCTTCGTGGGTGTTGCATGACATAGGTGCACTTGCATACAGGCAAAACAGTCATATACATAATATAAAAATAAATTTAAAAATTTTAAATGGAGGTTTGGAACTGCCATACCACCACATGGTAGACACAGTGTCCCTGGATTTTGCTCAGTTCCCTATTCATCCTAGCTAGGGAAAGGAAGAACCCCACATTCACACGCCCACTATGTAAGTATGCTATGCAGGCCCTCTTGGATGAGGACAGGCCTCTAGCAGCTCAGAAGGGGACCTACCTTCAGGGACCGGTATGACACTGAGGAGCTTGAGGTGCAAGCTGTGGACAGGTGCCTCACGGATGTCCTTGCTCAGCCTGTGCACTGGGGGCAGGGTGAAGGTAATCTCGTACCTGTGCAGGATCTTCAGGAAGCCAACCTGCAGCAAGAGGGGGTAGGAGGAGAGGCATCTTTACTGTTGTTTCCTAGGCCCATACAGGGATTGCCACCTATAATCCTGGTAGGCCTCAGCAACTGCTACCCTGGGAGCCCAACTCCCTTGGTTACACTCCAGCTGCTCCACACTCCTGGCTGACAGCTCCAGGTATTTAAACAGAATCCCTTCCCCTGAAGGCCAGGACAATCTACAGTCAGCATCTGTCAGAGGCCCAGTAGGCCTCAGTGGTCAATTTCATAGATGAGAAAACACAAGTCAGGAAATGACTGGCTGCTGTTCCAGAGCCCTAGCTGACAGCTTCAGGTATTTTAACAGAATCCCTTCTCCTAAGGGCCAGCACACTCTTCAGAGTCTGTCTGATGCCTGGTTTGGATTTTTTTGTTTGTTTTTTGTTTTTGGTCTTTTTGAGACAGGGAGACACACAGAGACCTGCCTACTTCCAACTCCCAAGTGCTGGGATTAAAGGCGTGCACCACCATACCTGGCTCAGAGGTCAGTTTTTATAGATGAGAATAGTCATAAAATGCCTGGCTGAAGGCCACATTGTGTAAATTCCTTCCTGGACCCTTGGCCACTTCTGTCATGTGTGGTAATAAGCAAGCCACCACCACCAATAAAGGGAGGCTCTTCACCTTCGCCCACCACTTCCAGCACCTGCCCAGGTCCAACAGCCCAGAGTCACTTGTCTGGAGACAATAGGCAACATGACAGCATGGGATAAGGGATAAGATGGAATTGGATAACTGGACACTAGGAATTGAGGTATAGCTCAATAGTAGAGTATGTACTCAGCATGTGTGAAACCTTGATTTTGATCCCAAGAACCAAATACAAAAGCACACTAGACCAGCTGTGGGAGTGCACAGCAGGCCACAGGCCAGGCATTAACCACTGAATGTGAATCCTGTCTGCACTGCTGGCACCTGCTCTACTGCCTGCCCACCTACTCAAAGATTCCATGTGCCCAGTGCCCTCTGCTTGTGGCCTAAGCAATTTCTGCTGTCCATATACACTGCTTGGCAACCAAAACTGTCCCTCTGGGACAGATGCCTTGGAAACTTTAGTGGTATGAAGGGTCATAAGCTGCAATGGCTTCTGAGCAGAGTGGCTAAACGGAGGGCTAACTTGTAGCCACAGGGATACATGCTGTATCCCAACTCGGTTACAGGGACTAAAGGGCCCCAGCCTCGGGGGCAGGTTAGGAATTGCTACTTGGAACTGTTAACTTTTGCATGGGACCAGGTTAATATTACCACATGATAAGGCTCAACTCATCTGGACACACAGATGAGTTTTCTTGAGAAGGGACACTTCTCAAGAAAACTTTCTGAGCCAGGCATTATAGTTCACATCTATAATCTTAACACTTAAGAGGCTGAGGCAGGAAGATCACTGCAAGTTTGAGGCCAGCATGAGCTACACAGTGAGCTTTAGGCCAGCCTGGACTGTGCTCTCAAAATGAACAGCTGGGAATGTAGTTGATAGAGTGCTTGTGTAGCATGCATGAAGCCCTGGGTTTGATTCTAGCACTGGATCACACCAGGAGTCATGGCACATACCTGCAATCCCAGCACTCATGAGGTGAGGGCAGAAGGGTCAGAAGTTCAAGGTCATCCTTGGCTATACAGCCAGTTTTTAAGGACAGCCTAGAGTACATGGACCCTGTCTCCCCAAAATAATAATTATTTATTTATTTATTTATTTATTTGAAGAAAAGCACAGCACAAACGCCACAGCATTGTGGAGGTCAGAGGACAATTTGTGGGAATTGGCTCTTTCCTTCCACTGGCTCAGAAAGCTTTCTTGAGAAGTGTCCCTTCCAATACTACAGTATGTATCCATCAGGTTGTGCAAGTGCCTTTACCCAAAGAGCCATCTGCTGGCCCTTCAAAAGAAATATGTAAGAGTTGGTGAGATGGTACAGCAGGTAAGGGCACTTGCCACCAAGTCCAACAGCCTGAATTTAATCCACAGAACACATGGTGGAAGGAGGGAACCAATTCCTGCAAGTCCTCTGATCCCCACACTCATGCTATGGCACCCCCACAAACACACACAAAAATGTTAAAAAAAAAAAATTTTTTTTTAACTTTTAAAAGCATGTTTTCTGGGGCCAACAAGATGGCTCAGCAGGTAAAGGCACTTTTTGCACAGCCTGGCAACCTGAGTTCAGTACAATATGAAGGTAGAAAGAGAAAACCCACACATACATTAATAATTTCAAAAATATATATATATTGTTAAAGGCTTTCTGGCTATACCTGTCTGCTGTGACCCTGTGGCCCAGCTATAGCACTTACAGAATTTGTCAGGAGAAATACCAACAGGAAGAGAAAACTGTAACACCCAGGAAAACAGAAGCAGCCAAATCAACGATGATGCACACACTGGAACATCAGATAGGGTAAAACCTAGTGGAAAGTTATTTCCTGACAGGCAGGAAACAGTTCATAAACAGAGGCAAGGAAAAACCAGCATGCCCACTGTGATTCCAGCTTTTTGTTTCAGGAAGCAGCTTTAAAAAAGAAAGGGAGGGGGACCTAGAAATGGCTCAGCTGTTAAAAGCACTGGCTGCTCTTGCAGAGGACCTAGGTTTGATTCCCAGCACCCACCTGGCAGTTAACAACCATCCATAACTCCAGTTTCAGGAGATTCGACATCCTCTTCTGGCCTATGCGGGCACTAAATGACATGGGTGCACTTATATATGTGCAGGCAAACACTCATACAAATAAAATTTAAAAAATAAAAACTTTTTAAAGGGGGTCTAGGATGACATACACTAACATATTAACCACGGTCACTTCATGTGTGACTGTGACTGGCTATCTTTAATTTTTCTATTGAAAATTTTAGACCCTTTGTTTTGATCTGTTCTGTTTATTCTCCTGGGAAAACCGTTAGCTGTAGGAGAGAGAATGAAGACTGAGTTGGGACAGAAAGGAACACAAACATGGGGCACCTCGGAGCAGGGCTGCAAGCCTCTTGGGTGGTCTCCATTGATCAGCCCTCTGTCTCCCAACACAGGACGCTTCTGCCCAACTGTGGGTCCCTGGTATTGACCAACCTGAAGGCTTCAATCTGTTTTCTCCAATCTAGCCCCTCCATCAACTCCTTCCTGTCCCTTCCAAGTCGATATGGAAGCCAGTGTCCAAACAACTGAAAGAGCCATGCTGGTGGGTGTGTGAGGTGTGGCCATGAGGGAAAGTGCATGCTCTGCCAAGTAGAAAATGCAGAGTAAGGGCTGACACAGCTCATTGGTAGAATGTGTGTTTAGCATGCCCAGGGCCCTGGGTTCAATTCCTAGAGTCAAAAATAAAATGTGGAGTGATGAACACCACTACAAAGGACAAAACATGGCGAAGAGTAAAAAGTCACACCCTATTATGATCATAATTAGCTTTACACCTACATCTACACCCTTTCATTCTCACACCAACTATGAGTATGAATAGCTAGAAAGATGGCTCAGCAGGTAAAGGCACTTGTTGTCAAGCCTGGCAGCCCAAGTTCAATCCTCGGAACACAAATGGTGTCCTCTGACCGCCACATGTGCACCATGTAAGTGCAGTAAACAAATTTTATAAATGAAAAAAATAAATTTAAAAAAATTTTGGATCGAGCATGGTGGTGCACACCTTTAATCCCAGTATTCGGGAGACAGTGGCAGGCAGATCTCTGTGAGTTCAAGGCCAGCCTGGTCTACATAGTGAGTTCCAGGACAGCTGGGGCTACAGGGAGACCCTGACTCAAAAAGACCAAAAAAGAAGAAAACAAAAAGTGAACTGCCCAAAGCCACAGAGCCAGAGCGGCAAGACTAGACCTGAGCCAGGCCTGCGGCACTACAGCCACCACAACCACCTTCTACTGTTCTTGTCTGCATTATGCCAATGACAATGGTTCTGCTGGCCCTGACTCAAGTGACATTCTAAACATTCTAAACAATCACCTTACTGATCCCCCACTTTCCATTTTACAGATGAAGAAACTAAAGGAGAGGCAAAGATGTGCCTAGGAACCCAGCTGCAGGAAGGAGACAGTTCCTGGAAGCCAGGCAAAGCCCAGGAGGAGGTAAAGGGAGCCAGGCTGATGACAGGGCAGAAGTGCACATACCTTGACTAGAAAGCTCTTGTCACTTTCCTGAGTAACCATGACAACTGAGTCATGCAGCTTCTCGTCAAAGTGGACATGGCCCTGGGAGCCTTCTGCATCGTGGCCTGCCGCAAAGCGGATACTTCGGACTCTGGGCTTACTGCCTAGAAGAATAGAAGGATTCATGGGCTGCTGGCTTCCCTTGCCCCAGGGAAACCAGTTTCCTTTGTTCCTCCTAATGCCCAAATGTTTTTACATTCCCCACCATCCACTGACCAAACTCCTTTCAGGCCTAGGTAGATACTGGTAATCATGAGGTTTAACCCCACCCCCACCCCAACCTACGTATCCAGCTCTCCCACAAATGTTCCATCTCCAGCACACATGTACAAGAAACTCAAGAGACTAGCTGATATGACCCCTCACTTGGAGGGGAGGAGGATGGTACCTGAAACAGTTCTCCAGACCCACCAGGCAGTACAGAGTTGGGCCCAGGCCTCTGCATACCCTGTCTCATGCTTTCCTCCAGAATGCCATGCTCTCCACCCAGCATCTTAAAAAGATTTTTATTTACGTGTACATGTGAGTGTGTATGTGCCTGCCTGAGATTATTTGCACCACATGCGAGGCCAGAAGATGACAACAGATCCCCTGGAACTGGAGTCACAAATGGTTGTGAGCAACTCGACATGGGTGCTGTGAACCAAACAGGTTCTCTGCAAAGACCACTGAAGTTTGGGAGTGGTGGTAGTGCACACCTTTAATCCCAGCTCTAGGGAGGCAGAAGTGGTCAGGATCTCTGTGAGATGGAGTTCAGCCTGGTCTATATAGCGAGTTCCAGGCCAGCTGGGACTACAAGAAGACCTGTCTCAAAAAAACAAAACAGGCGTGGTGGCGCACACCTTTAATCCCAGCACTCGGGAGGCAGAGGCAGGTGGATCTCTGTGAGTTCAAGGCCAGCCTGGTCTACATAGTGAGTTCCAGGACAGCTGGGGCCACAGGAGACCCTGCTTCAAAAAGACCAAAAAACAAAACAAAACGAAAAAAAAAAAAAAAAAAAAAAAAAAAAAAAAAAAAAAAAAAAAAAAAAAAACCAAACCACTGAGCTGTCTCTCCAGCCTCCCTGGAACCTTTCCTCTCAGGTTCACAAGTAGATGAGGCAGTCCCCCTGCCTGGGACTCCTGATAACCCCTAACAACCAAGGGTACAGAGATGGGAAAGGCTTCTAGGGGACCTACTTGCAGTGGGAGGAATAGGGGGTTAAAAACCACACTTGGCCACTAGGAGAGGCTACATGGCCACTAAAGCTCAATGATCACTAGCAGATACAAAGGAAGACGCTGAAACCTTCTGCTTAGTCCCCATCAGGTCCTTGTCTGTCACTAATGGACTAGGTTCCCTAAGAGCAAAGGGCAAAGGGTTGAGACATGCTAAGTAGTGGGGAGATAGGCAAAAACCTGGACTAGATGGACATTCAACTTATGGGAAGCAAGGGCACGATTCCAGTCTGCAATGACCCTTCAGCAAGGTCTCGGGACTCTCAAGAGTCTCACTCATAGTCCTTTTTGTGGAAGAGCCGGGGCCAGTGTTGGCCTGGGTTCTTAAGATACTCAGCAGGATTATCTACCCTAGGAGCCAGTCTGGCACAGCCACAAGTCCCTGTTGAGCTGACTCTCAGATCTTACCAGGTTTCTCTTGCCTAAAGTCTTCCAGATTCCAACTAAGGTCCCACCCCAGGTCTCTAATGCTCACACCAGCCAGACATGTCCCCTAAAACACCCACCAGTGGAACCGGGGGGCTGACACATACGGACAGGACATATACTTCCACAGAATGGCAAGCAAAGGAGCAAGCAGGGGTCTGTGCTGGGGCTTGGGCCTAGCACAAGCACTGGTATATTCTGAATGACACTAAGACATACCACACCAAGAGACGAAGCAGGTCCAATATGCAACAATACTCCCTGTATTAGTTACTTTTCTGTTGCTGTGATAAAAACACCATGACCAAGGGAACTTATAAAAGGAAGAGTTTATTTGCGCTTACTGTTTCAAGGGAATTAGTCTGTCATGGCGGGGAGGCATGGCGGCAGAGGTGGCTGGAACAGAAAGAGGAGTGCTCACATCTTCAAGTAGGCACAGGAAGCAGAGCACAAGGGGAGATCCAGCAAGGCTTAAGAACTCTCTAAGCCCGCCCCCAGTGATGTGCTTCTTCCAGCATGGCCACACCTTCTAAGACCTCCCAAAACAGCACCACCAACTGGGAACAAAAATGTCCAACTACTTGGAGCCTATGGGGAACATTCTCATTCAAACCACCACATATCATTCTGGCAGAGTTCTCTGCAAGAGCTCATGCAAACTCACAGACCAGGAAGGCACTCACCTTTATTGGCTGCAGCCATGGGCACCCTCCCTGCCACTGAGCAAGACACAGCACCTGGTTGACACAGCCACTCAAGCTCAGCAGCCCCCCATGCTCCAGGGACAGTGACAGAAGCCTGAAGAATAGGGAAGAGAGAAGGCAGGAGTCAGGACCAGTCATTAGCCCATGGCTGGTGGGGATCAGAGAGCTCCTTTTAGGAAGGACCCAAACCCTTGCTGCTTTCAGAAGCCTACCTATATGGAGCCATCATCCTTGGACACAGGGGCTTCTACCTGACCCTTCCAGCCACCACCCACACATAGTCCTCAGTCCTGTCTGATACCCTATTGACCCAAGGCCTGGTAAGCATGTGCTAAGCTTCAGGATGTCAGCATAGGAAAGAAAGGAGGCTTTATTGGTATTTTTAGAGGTTATTTCTGGCATTGCTAACCCCAAAGGACAGGCCCAAGAACCACATTACTCAGGTCATGCACACAGCACAGGTGAATACAGGTCAGTCAACAGTGTGCTTAGAGGTGGGCAAGAATAGGAGGCCTCATAAGATAAACATATTGACAGGCAGTCAGAGTCACATACAGAATAGAGGTCTATGGAAGAGGTGTGCCCCCATCTAAGCCTGCTATTCAGACCCTAGCCTAAGTCACGGTGGCCTCTAGCTCAGCAACCCAAATGCAAGAGTATGCATTAGGGGCTGGTGAGATAGCTCAGTGGGTAAAGGCATTTGCTAGCCTGAGGACCTGAGTTCAATCCCCACCCCTCACAAATAAATAAATGTAATATAAAAAATAAATGAGGCACCCCGAGGACGCCTCTGATAGGCAGAGCTGATCTCATCTAAACATCAAAAGAAGGAGTGCAATCAATGGAAACAGATGGAATCTAGAAAACAGCACATGCGTAGAAATTATAAAAACTGAAGAAGGCAAAACAAATCCAAAGCCCCCCATGTCACCACTGAGGGCAACAGTACCCTAACTCTCCACTCTGGAAACTGGCAATTAAAGAGAAATAATTCAGCCTACCTCCCAGCCTTTAGTATAAATGAACTGCCTTCTTCACAGGCAATTCCCAGCTAATAACAAAGAATGACCAAATGCTAAGTCATTCTGCACCCGTACATAAACAAATGCCAAAGGTAGACACTCAAGATGCTAAACCATGAGGGAGAGGCACTGATAGATGACCTGATGATCCGAAGGCAAAATAACATAAGCCTGCAGTGAGAGGATGTAACATCTCCCTTGCTCACTGTGAAACAGTCAACACATTCCCCTGATGCAAGGCACCCTGCAGACACAGCATCCCTGACAAAGGACAACTAATGAAGATGGTTGAACTAGATTTAACTGAGCCTCTAAGTCCAACTTCCGAATACTGAAAACACAGTAGAACAAATTAAATAACTGTAACCAAACAATGAGGCAACCCAGAAGGCAGACTCTACCATAGGACAGCTGACCTGCTTCTTTCAAACTGCAAGGAAGGAAAAAAAAGAGGAGACTGTTCTAATAGGGAATCTGCACGCTGAGCTGCAGTCAGTTTTGCTTGTTTGTTTGTTTGTTTGTTTGCAAATAAAGTTTCATTGACTCACAACCCCTCTTGCTCATTTACATGTCATCTGTGACAGCTTTTACACTAAAACAAAACGACTTTGAGTTGTAACAGATACCATATGGCCTTCACAGTCTAAAATGTTTATCTAGCACTTAACAGAAAAAGTTTGCCAACCTGTTTTTATATTAACACTGAAGGGATCAAGAAGGCAGAAAAACCTACAGGAAAACTGACCTTTTCACCTCATCTACTACAAGAAGAAATGGTAGCAGGGGCTGCCTTTTTTTTTTTTTAAATCTTAGGTACAGGAGAACGAACTTTTATTCATTCATTTATTTGTTTGTATAGATGTGAAGATCAGAGGACAACTTGCAGGACATAATTCTCAATTCTCTTCTTCTACCATGTGTGTCCAGGGGATTGAACTCAGGTCCTCAGGCTTGATAGCAGGTGCCTTTTACTCACTGAGCCAGCTTGCAATCCTATGGAAGTTGTTTCTAACTCCCTATTAAGAAAGACATTTGAGCCAGGCATGGTGGTACATGCCTTTAATCCCAGCACTTGGGAGGCAGAGGCAGGTGGATCTCTGTGAGTTCCAGGCTAGCCTCATCTTACATACTGAGTTCCAGGCCAGCTGGGGCTACAGGGAGACCCTGTCTCAAAAAGACCAAAAGACATTTGAGCTGGGCATGGTAGCACATGCCTTTGATCCCAGGATTTGGGAGGCAGAGGCAGGCAAATCTCTATAAATTCAAGACCAGCCAGGGCTTCATGTTGAGACATGTCTCAAAAAAAAAAAAAAAAAGGACAATTTACAATTGGAGGCCAAGGGATGTAGCTCAGTGGTAGTGTCTACTTAAAATGTGGCAAAGCCACAGCACTGCATAAAAAAATAAAGGAACTAAATTAAAAGACATTTGAGGGATAGACAGGAAATATAGTGGCCTGGATATGGCACAGTGAATGCCATTAAGAAATGAGCTACCATATACAAACACCATTATTACTTTTAATCTAATTCCCCTTCAGGATGATTGAGTAGATTATAAACTTTTTTTTTCTTAAAACAAATTTTTAAGGCCTAGGCATAGTGGCACAAACCTGTAATCTCAGCAGGGACAGGAGAGTCATGAATTTGAGACCAGCCTGGACTATAGAATGAGACTTATGTTAAAAAAAACAAAACCAGGCGGGATATGTAAGTCAGTGGTAAAGCACTTGCCTAAGCATGCCTAGGATCCTACATCTGATTCCTAGCATCACAAGAAAGAAAAAAAATTGTTAAGTACTGGTTCTTAGACCAGTGAGATGGCTCAGCTGGTAAAAGGCTTCTGCTGCCAAGCCTGATGACCTGCAATCAATCCTTGGTACTCATGTGGTGGAAGGAGAGAACTGACTCTTGCAAGTTGTTCTCTGACTTCTACATGCATACCACTGTGCTCTCAAATAAATATAGTAAAAATAAATAAATGAATGAACGAATAAATAAATAAAATACTGGTACTTAAGTTTTAGGGAGACTTATAGCATCTCACAGTAAAATTTTAGTGTACAAAGAATCAAAAATTGTGTCTAATCCCTGAATGTTCTTATTTAAATGGTTATCAGACTATCTAATGTTCTTTTCAAGACACTTAATATATTAGAAGTTAATACTGTTTTCACTAAAAAAAAAAATTTTCAGGATTTAAATATTTCTTAAGAGACAGAAAAGTTCTTTAAACATTCTTGACTTAAAGCAGATGTAATGGTGCATGCCTGTAATTCCAGCATTTGGGAGGCAGAGACAGGACGATCACTCTAATTTCAAGGCCAGCCTGTTGTATATAATGAGATTCAGGTCAGCTAGTACTATGCAGTGAGACACTGTCATATAAAAACAAAACAAATACATATATATATTCTTGACTTACAGATTTGTTTTTTTTTTCTAAATCAAAGTATACCATAGTTGTTAAAACAAATCATCTTAACTTAATTAATGGCTGTAATAACAGGAGAGTATCATTTCTTCAGTACAAAGTGATCTACTTACTGTAAAAGTAAAATGTAACTGGGAATGTTTTTAGATTCTTTGCATATCCAGTTACTTTACTTGAAGGAAGAAAATAGACAAATCACATGTAATAACAAAAGAAAACAAAACTTTACACTAAATTCCAGTCACCAGAGGCTTCCTTGTTTTTCACCCTACTGTAGTTATCTGCCTATCTTTGTCACTCAGGACACAGGTTGTTTCCTTTAACAGAATAGATGGCAGTCTCACACTGGTGGCAACTAGTGCTCCCTGAAATTTACTGGGTCACTTTGAGATTCATAAGTTTATACCATTTTAGCATTTTCTTTATGTTTGTATATCTAGTTGTGATAAACCACTGATAATATTTTGTCCTAAAAGGAAACATTGCTTAGTACATTTTTTAGTGTCATACTGATTTTTAAAATTTGAATGATATACAGAATTTTGTTTTTTTAACACACTATCAATATATATTTGCTTGTGTTCTCTAAATTCCTTACAAAATAAAGTTAATTCAGTCGAAAAAGAAAGAAAAAGAAAGAAAGAAAGAAAGAAAGAAAGAAAGAAAGAAGAAAAGAAAGAAATGAGCTACTCAGGTCAGGCGTGATGGTGTAAGCCTTTAATCCTAGCAGTGGCAGGTGGATCTCTGGAAGCTCAAGACCAACCTGGTCTACATACAAGTTCCAGGCCAGCCATAGCTACATAGTGAGACCCTGTCTCAAAAACAAAAACAAGGGAGTCAGGCACATGCCTTTAATCCCAGCATTTGGAAGGCAGAGGCAGGTGGATCTCTGTGAGTTCAAGGCCCGCCTGATCTATTTAGTGAGTTCCAGGACAGCTGGGGCTACAGGGAGACCCTGTCTCAAAAAGACTTAAAAAAATAAATAAATAAATAAACAAAAAAAAACGGGCTGGAGAGGTGGCTCAGGGGGTTAAAGAGCACAGGCTGCTCTTGAAGAGTACCCAAGTTCGATTCCCAGCACCCACATGGCAGCTAACAACTGTCTGTAACTCCAGTTCTAGGGAATCTGACACCGTCTTCTGATCTCCACAGACCCTACAAGACATGGGTGCACCTACCCACATGCAGGCAATACACAATACATATAAAAATAATAAATATTAAGGGGCTGAAGAGATGGCTCAGTGGTTAAGAACACTGCCTATTCTTGCAGAAGACCCAGGTTCGAATCCCAGCACCCACATGGCAGCTAACAACTGTCCGTAACTCCAGTTCCAGGGGGTAAGACAGCCTCTTCTGTCCTCCGAGGGCATTGCATGACATGGGTGCACTTACC